TATATTATCTGTTCTATGAAAGGATCGTTATAAATTTTAGGATTTGATTTTTATTTGGGGAGAGAAAGAGGGAATTTTCTTAGGCAATTAAAACTGTTTAAATTTTTTAGCTTTCTCACTGATTTCCACGTATTTTCGATGTATTTAGAAACAATGGAAACACCAATTGGAAGGTTATTTATATAAATGATTAGAAATGCATGCAAATGCTAGACTCTATGATTGTCATTTTAAACTTCTATTTGTTTGTTTGCATGATTCACAAAGTTGTCACCAGGAATTGCTTCAATTATGTGACATAATACAAAGCTTTAATATTTAAGATTGCATTTTTATTCACCATCATTTGGTTAGTTTCTAAATATAGTTACAAGAAAGGGATTCCTCCATATTAAGAAAACTCAGGCTGCAGTTTTATGCACATTTACCTAGAGTATGCTCCAATGATTTCAGTATTATTTCTGAGACGACACAGAGAGAATTGCACTAACAGGATCACAATTTTAAGTGAACTCGGTAGAAAAGACAGAAGCAACGATGTCTATGTCAGGCTTCATGTTACTATATTTTAATAGATATTTGAATCTTGTTTGCAAAAGAGAATTAGATTGTAATATATTTTGCAAAGTGCAAAATCTATTATTGCATTTTCTTTAAATATTGTTTGATGCTTGTATCCATTTTGTACTGAGTCAGAGCAATTGTGATGATTTAGTTTTTTTACTACTAAAATCAAATTTCTTACCAAATCTCCATGAAATTATTTTTAAAGAGAAAAAGAATCCCATGTGAATAATATTTGCCAAAGAAAAATATCCTCCTATGGAGAGAAGATATTGGTGTAAGCATTGTTACAGTAAGGAAGGAGGATACTCATAATGTCCAAAAATAGCAACAGAAAGTTCTAGAAACCTTTCAAAGATCTGTGGTTTTGCTAAAATTTTTATCAGTGGAATTCTTTTGAACAGAAAGCTGAGGTGTGAATGAAAAAAGAAAAGAAAAGAAAGAAAAAGAAAGAAAGAAAGAAAGAAAGAGTAAAAGTAAAAGAATTTTGTTGTGCACCAACATTGTAATACATCGGATTGTTCAGCATTACTTTGTGCCAGGTTGTGGCTTAACTTGCATTAGTTTAAAGGTAAAAATGAATATTAAGATCAACTGCTATTTTATTCTCTTATGGTACAAAGGAGAAGTAATTTTCTTCAGAATATGTTTCAGCAAAAGATGATATTAAACACAAGAATAAAAATGATTGCAAAAGGAAGACATAGGTGCATTGACAGAAGTGTGACCAAAATCTACATCTCCTTTTTCATTCAATGAATTTCCAGACATACATAGGTTAACTTCCAGATAAACCAGGTAAAATGTGTTTAAGGCATGTTGAGTCCTGTATTATATTGTGGCCTATCACTTCAATCTAGAACAAGGGCAAGAGAAACAGAGAACTGTCACACTCCAGAATACAGAGCAACTAGTGTGCAAGCTTGAACATCCCAATTTCCTACAGGGGCACAACCCATCTGCTCCAGCCATTTGTGATACAATACATTGTTCATTCTTGTGCAGGATTCTTCATCCTTGATGTGAGAAATGCATATTTAGAAAGCCAGTCCTGCAGTGCAATTCCACTGGCTTGAATTAAATCTATCACCTATGCATTCTCCTTCACTGAAACAAAACAGTATCCCTACAGTTCCAGCATCCTAATGCTTCTAATCACATTTACTTAAAATAAATTCCTTTGGAATCAGCAAGTTCAGGATGATATAGGACTATTCAGATGTAAAGCTCAATGAAATACCTAAAACTTACATCAAGGTAAATATGACCAAGAGTTCTTCTTCAAATAGAATTGTGCTATGATTCTTCTTCTCTTAACTCCAATAACCTGTAGGCTCAATAGAGGCAAATAGCAATCATATGCCAAAAATGTGTATCAATGGCCCTTGTCACCCTACATATTGAACCTGATTTATAAGACATATAGGTATCAGAACTAAGAATATTCATAAACAATGTCAAACATTTACCTATTTGATGGGAAAGTCCCTAAAAATGAAGAACTGAGAAGAGATTTTGTAGAATATTTATGAGAGCGAAAACTTCCAATTTCAAGGCATCATTAATCATTAGATGATAAAAAGATATATTTTACACAATGGCAAATTCTTTTTTTGCAAATTGTTTTATACGAGCATAACTTGTACTTATCCAACACAAGAAATCACTTAAGATGCACAGGACAACTACAAGAACGAAAATGTTATGAAGAATTCTACAAAGAAATCAACTTAGGCAAAAGCTAGGTGAATGTGTGTTAAATATCTGATGTGAGCTATGATCAGGCAGTTTCTATGTATGGATGGAATTTGATATGTATCTGTTTTTTATTTTTTTTAATTTTTTTTTTTTTTTTTTTTTTATTAAAAGTTTTATAAATTTTACAAGAAAAACAAGAACAATACAGAACAAAAAACAACATATACAAAGAAAAAAAAAGTTAAACAATACATATATAAAAAAAAAAAAAAAAAAAAACCCCACCCCACACCCCTCCCAAAAACCCTCCCTTCCCCCCCCCTGAGCTTCCCAGAGCAGAATATAGGCTTGAGAAATAAAAAAAAAATAAAAATTAAATTAAAAACTTTATGTTTATATATATAAAAAAGATATCTATAATATATATAAAAATAAAACTTATGAAAAAGCTATATGATATTTTTGTATACCCAATCTAAATTGTATAAATTTTATCCATTTGTCCCAGATAGCAAAAAACTTCTCTTGCGTTTGTTGCTTTAAGAAAGCCGAAATCTTTGCCATTTCCGCCAGATAAGCTACTTTAAAAAACCATTCCTGCAATGTAGGCAAAGATTCCTTCTTCCAATATTGTCCAACTAACAGCCTCGCGGCTGTGATCAAATTTAACATCAATACAACCTCCTTTGTATCACAATCTGTAACAATACCTAACAAAAATAATTGCGGAGTAAATTTTACCCTCCTTCTAAAAATTCTCTGGATATTCCACCATATTTTGATCCAAAATGCTTTTATCTCTCTGCATGACCACCAAATATGATAATAGGAAGCCTCCTTATAACCACATCTCCAGCATTTAGGTTGCACGTCAGGGTACATGTAAGACATTTTTTGTGGATCAAGGTGCCATCTATAAAACATTTTATAAAAATTCTCCCTTAAATTCTGTGCTTGAGTAAATTTGACATTTCTCACCCAAATAATTTCCCAGGTGTCCAATGAAACTGGCTCACCAAAGTTCTGCGCCCATCTAATCATACAATCTTTAATTAGTTCCGTTTCTGAGTCCAATTCAACTAAAACCCCATAAATTCTCTTAATGTGGGTTTGTCTTTGATCCTTCAGTTGCTTAATAAGATTTTCATCTTCTCTAAGAAAACCCACCTTACAATCCATCTTCCATCTATCTAGTAGTTGCCTATATTGGAACCAAGAATAAGTAAAATTTTCTTGTGCTAATTCTTCCCGTGATTTTAATTGCCAGTTTTGTCCATCCCATTTAAGTAACTGTCTATAAGTCACCATATCCATTTTAACCCCTCTTTTTATTCCTTCTATCGCATGCCAAGGTATAGCCCATAATGGTACTTTAAAATCACTTTTATAATATTTTCTCCAGATCCTAAGTAAAGAAATTCTTAAAATATGAGATTTAAAAGCCCAATCTATTTTTTTATTAAATATTAAATAGGCATGCCACCCATAAAGTAAATCCCATCCCTCTAGGATATGTATCTGGAGATGTATATTTAATTAATTTTCTTCTATTTTAAAAGAGTTTAAAGTGTGAAAGCACTTTAAAGCAGTATCAGAAATCAATGTTTTTCTTATTCAGAGTCAAATTAATTTATTTTCACACTGATCTTTTCATTTCTAAGTTCTGGGCTTTGGCTATAGAACTGAAAATCAATCGTGTGTGTGTGTGTGTGTGTGTGTGTGTGTGTATATTTACAAAACTCACATTCTCTGTCTTTGCAGATCTTTCATTCATTTCATGTCATGTAGGACAAACATAGCTCAGCTTCCTCCTCTATTGTGCTAAATATCTTTTTAATATAACATAATCCTATGAATATTTATCCAAGAGTTTATCCAATTGTATTTAAGGCAGCTTACTTGTAGGATATTGTATGCAAGATTGCAACTTAAGTTATAAACCGAAAACTGTAATAATCTTCTTAGGAAAATAATAATAATTATAATAATTGCAATGACTGTGGTGAAAAACAAAATTATTCTGAGAGTTGGGTATCAGTACATTTTACCAGAGAATTCCTAGATCCTTAAGAATATTCCCCGATCTTTGAACATTACATTAAGGCTGTAATTGTTGAAGATCGATTTTTAAAATTTGGCTAATTGTTGCTTGTATCACGAGCTTTTTTGTAGAAAAACATGAATGCATGTCATACTTGAGTAGATAATTTTTGGAGCAAATTCTAAAATTAATCAAAATATCAATACCCCATATTGCAAAAAATCATTTCCAAAAAAGGATTTTATTTTAAAATTAGACCTTTAGCTTTAGGTAAACATACCTATAGATTTTGCAAAGAGAAAATGCTTCAGTTCATTGAAAAATGAAAAGATAAATAAATATATTCTATAAAAATAGATAATGCTGCAGTTTTCTTCCAGATGTGAATTCAAAAGTAAAATTAGAAAGATTAAGTTTCAGGAATACAAGCCAATGTATAGATGGAATTACACCTGTTCAGATACATATAAAAATATTTTCATTCATTTTCTCTGTACCAGTATGGAGTATATGAAACTCCTTTCCGACTCGGAGGGTGTCAGATTGACTTTTAAATGAAACGGGTTTATATGTATGTATGTGTGTGTATATATATATATATATATATATATATATATATATATATATATATATATATATATATATATATATGGGTTTAACACAGGGGTGTGTGTTAAATGTTGGGGGTTTTGTGACATCACCAGGTTAAAGTACCCAATCAGCTTGCACTCTGGAGAAAATTATTTAGTGGGGTGTTTCCTATAATATACTGTACTCAAGTCTCTTAAAGAAAGAAGCAGGGGAAAAAAGGTGGCCATGCCATGGATTTTGGTTGGTGTCTGGGGTGATTGAAAACCCTGCTTTTTGCAGTTCAGGGATGATTCTTTGCTCAAAGGCTTGCCTGCTTGTTTTTAAAGACTGGACTGATTAAGAAATGGAGATGGTAATTTCTTCGGTGCCCCTCCCGGGCAAATTTGATTCCAAGAAGAAAAGATATGAGGAGGGGGATAAGAAGGAGGAGATAAAATAACAGAGAGAAGGCATTTTTCTTCTGTGGACTTCTCTGGGGATGTTTACCGTAGAGAGTGGAGAAAGAAAGGGAGAAGAAAAGGCAGCTTTGGATCCTCAAGAGATGCATTTGAAAGGAAAATTTCTCACTCAACGATGAGTGGTTGATTGGGGGGGGGGTAGATGGGAAATGGGAAGGGGTTGGAAGAAGAGCCGTTTCTACTAGCTCCCCGCTGGCGGCCTCCCTGCCTACCTTTTATTTTTATTTTAAACATGTTTCTGACCTGCGGGATGGCCCCAGCTGCGGCTTCCGTTGCCACGTCCGTGGATTACAATGGAGATTTCCAAGCTGGTTATCAGGAAATCGACGGCATCAGTTTGGGTTACCTGCAGATTAACGGCACGAAGATGTTTGCTCTGACCCAGGTCTTCAGCGACCTTTTTAAGGACATTCCTCGGGCCGCCGTCAGCAAAAAAATGGAAAGCCTCAAGATCCAGAGTCGCCGGTGCGACCTGAAGGAGCTGCGCACTCTCAAAGCCATCCAGTCGGTGCCAATGCGCGCCGTCAAATGTTCGCTCATTTCCAAGACCGACCTGGAGGCCCTCTGCACCTCCTGCAAGGCCTTAACCCCCAGGAAGAGGAAAAGGAAGAGGAAAGTCAAAAGGAGGGAAGCCGAGGTCCTGTTCGATCGGCCCCGGTTACTACCGGCGTACGACGAACCCGACCACCACACCTTTCGTGCCAGTTTGGGTGCCGGCTGCGCCAAGCGCGAGGCACTCTTCGGAGCTCCATTTGCTAGGAGCTACGAGAAAGCTGCACCGCCTTCCAAAAGCTACAACCGGAACGGTAGAGCGCACCTCCTGGCCGGCGTCCTCCACGCTTACCCCGGGGATTTGCAATTCTTACACTCGGCTGTCAGGGCGCAAGGAACCAGTCCACCGCCTGGCGAGCCCGAGATCGGGCGCCCCAAGCGCTCCATTTGCGGCTGCCTGACCAAGAAAGGTCGCTCAGCCTCTATCACCGGCTCCAAGAGGCAAGGTACGTCGGCTGGCTATTCCAGTGATTCGGATTCCAGCGGCGCGTCAAGCCCGGCAAGTTCCAGCGATTCTTCGGAAGATGAGGAGGAGGAAGAGGATGACGACGAGGAGGACGAATCTTCCTGCAGTAGCGAGGACGGCAGCTCCTCCGGATCAGAAAGCAGTTCCCTATGCAGTGGCGACTCAGTGCAAAGCACGCGGTACAGACAGGCCGCCCTTCCCCGCATCCCTCCCCAAAATGCATCTTCCCAAGCCCTTCCCAGTGTGGCCAAAGCACTGCGCCCCGACCCGAACTTGCTCTTTTGGGCCAGGACGTTGCGCGCCTCCAGTTTGGAAAGTTTCAAGCCGATTCCTAACAGTACGCCCAAGGAGCTTCAGCAAGACAGACCTGAGACTCGGCATTCTTCAGTTTCCCCAGCCCGTCCGAACGGCCCTCAGCCAAAGAACGAAGACATCAGGGAGGCGTCGGAGTCGGGTGTCCAGGAGGGCGAAGAGGCCGATTTCCTGAGCATTTCCGATGGTGTCCGAGCCGGTGAGCAGGATAAAACTGAGGAAGCCGCGCTTCATCAGACCTCCGAGGAAGGATTAGGCAGAGGGGCCCATTTCGATAGGCTTATCAGGCAATCGAAACTCTGGTGCTATGCCAAAGGGTTCAACGTGGATGGGAAAGGCTTGCGCAGAGCCGATCAGGCCAAAGGGTGTTCTCCCGCTTCCAAAACTGGCCTCCTTAGTCTGGCCAACAGACCGCTGAAGGGGAGCAGCGACTCGGAAAGGGGTTCCAGGAGATGTCGAGTCGAGCAGGCCAAGGCCCCCAAGATTCCGAGGAAGAAGACCCCAAAGGGGGGCACCCCGCCTTGCAAACGCTTGCTCAGCACCAGTCCCGGCTCTGTAAGGAATCCATTTACTTTGATGGGCACTTTTCCATGTACACCCGCATTAGTCGTGGGTTCAGATGGGGATCTCTGTCCTGCATCGTCCTTGTGCGTCAAAGACTCCTGTGCCCTCTCCAAAACGCACCCACTTTGGACCTGGCAGCTGGGGGGTAATGCCATCCCCATGCCTCCCAGCCTGAAATTCCAGGGATATGGTTTTGAAGACTTTTAGATGAAAGATTTAAAGTAGTTATGTGCAACGATTTGTTTCGTTTATGGAGGGAACAGTGTGGATGGGAAAAGGAAAATAGAATATATTCTGTACAGAAAAAAAATGATCTTGCAATCTTAAGTATATATACTTGGAAATAACCTTTTTGGGTTCAGTGGCCTTTAATTGCAAGTCAGGTGATAATAGCAGTTGATGATGTTTAAAGTCAATTGCCCCAAAGTAGGACTGGCTGAAATAGATAAAAATGTTTTTAAAATAGAAAAAGTGCAATCAAATATATAATTATTCAGACAGAATTGTGGGATTTAATTATGTATAAGTGGCTGTAAGTTTGAAGCCTAAAAGTTTTCAAAAAAAGAATGGACTTTTGATTCCCAAATAGCTTGAGTTTTTTTTTTTTAAGAATCCTGAAAATCTCCCATCACATGAAATTCCTTTATTTATACCAGTGGCTTTATTTTAAACAGCCCATCCAGTCAGCAATTCTTAATAAAATTGCACACCTTTGAAAATATAAAAAATTAAATCTTACTTGACAGTAATTATAGGGAGCCAAAAGAAATGGTTAAAAAAATTATTGACAGTAAGAGAAAGTAGAAAATAAAGTTGAGTATAGATATTTAACTTTTATGCTTTAATTGGGGATATAGTGTTTTTGTTTATGTTGCACATTTATATTGTAGGGAGCTGCAATAACAATTAAGAAAAAAAAGATACAGGCAGTTGGAGAAAATCTGGTCTCTCCTTTCCTTTTAACATGCAGTGGTTTGTTCCATGCTGTGAAATTTGGAAAAGCTGTGTGTGTGCGTGTGGGGTGTTGTAGGGAATGAGAAAGTCTCTGGACAAGGCTCCCCTCCCCTTTCCCAAGTGAAAGACCCTCTCCTCTCCTCTCCCTCCCCCATTAGCAAAGTTAAAAGTATGCTCTCCTCCCAGCCCCCAACTTTCTTCCTTAATTTGGAAGAGAAATGGAATGGCCTTTCAACTGCAGCACATTAAACTCATCAAAGGATCACTCCCCTCCCCATTCCATTCACTTCCTGATTAAAACTTAAGCAAAGCCAATCTGATTACTTTATCCCCAATACCAGAACTTTTGAGAAAAAGAAAGGTCTCCACAGTAGACTTTTTTCTTCTCTTTCAATAAAGAAAAATATTTTAAACTAAAGTAGAAGCAAAGTCCTTATCTCTCCTGCATGAAGAAAAAAAAAGTTGCTTAAATTTTTGCATCATTTCAAACAATTATTTTTTGGTTAATAGATCCCTGACATTAGTAGCCCACGTAATATTCTGTTTATTTAAATATTTGCTGGAAAGAATAAATTGGGTCCAGGGGTAAATTTGAATGAATCACAGATGGACAATTTGATCTCCAAAGTGAAATGTAGAAAAGAGGAATTCTTTTGTCTTTGCCAGAGAAAACAGTGATCTCTTTCCCTCGTGCAAATAGTTCTTTATTGTTTCATATGTAATATACCCCTTTGTCTTCCAAGATTGCTCTGTGTCACAAAACTCAAATTCAAATTGAAATCTTCATCTCTAGAGTAAAAAACCTCTTATGACTGTAAGATATGTGTGTGTGCGTGTGTATGTATGCATGCATGCATGTATCTATCTATCTATCTATCTATCTATCTATCTATCTATCTATCTATCTATCTATCTATCTATCTATCTATCTATCTATCTATCTATCTTCAGTTTCAAAATCTTACATCAGGGAAGAAAGAGCTCAGTTGCCCATAAATAGATCTTGCTGCACAATCCGTAAAGACCACAGGCAAAAACATTGTTTAAAAGTGCAAAACAGTTTAATTAGGAGGTAAGTCCTCCTGGAATTACTGGACCTTAAATCCTTAAGTCTACATGATTTTATGTGTAAGTAAGCTATGCATCAACTGACCTTATTCCCAACTGTGCAGTCAAACAGTAACATATTTAGGAATCAGATACCAATATTTGTCTGGATCTATTATTAAAATAGGCTTTCCTGAAGAAGGGGACAAACCTTATTGGGGATGGCTGGGTGAAATGAATTGATTGAAATGTCAGATTTTATCTAGAAAGAAATTCCAGCACTTTGAATTTTACAAATTGATTACTAAGTGCAACAATGAAACAAACCAAATATGGAACGTATAGAAAATGTGTATGATTTTAAAAAATAAGACTCATATAGAAAACAATAACAAAAATACCACAGTACAATTTCTACTATTCCCCATCTTGGTTAATTGTACAGTATTTAAATTTTGCAGCTGAATTACACTTTTCTTTTTTTTTAGGTTGTGGTTGTGGTTATACTGTATTCTTGTCTACTTGAAAGTAAGAGGGATTGATAATAGAATCTTATTTCTAAATAAACCTGCTTAGGATTACTGGGTTAGTTATTTTCACTTTATAAGCCTGCTTTTTTGTTAAGTGGGAGATGTTTTATTGTCAAAATAGCTCTCAGTGAAGAAAAGGAGATATTCTGTTTTTTTCAAAAAATCAGGGCAATGCAGTGTCCTTAATGTAGTTCGCATTCATTGTGTTTATGCAGAAGAGTTGTCCATTGAATTGTGTGAGTCCCAAATATTTGAAAGCAACAAAGAAAGAATAAGAAAACCTGGTTATTCCTAGGGGCATTACATAACTTAAGGCTTTGTGTAAAATAACTGAATTAAGAATTTCCTGACTGTCAGCTCTCTCTCTCCCCTCCCCCTCCCCTCCCCCTCCTCTTTCCCCTGGTTTTGGGCATTTATTTGGTATGAATTAGCTTTGCTAATGTTAAATCTTCATCCTGGTTCATCCAAGCTGGGAATAAATAAGCAAAAATAGGACAATAGAATTTTCAGGAAAAAAATTATAGATCATTATCTTTGGAATTCTTTCCTGATGGGTTAGAAAAGCAGACAGACCCCTTGGTGTGTGAATGTGAAAGAAAGCAAAGAGAAAGGATCATTTTTGCAGTTGTCTACACTTTCTTTAAAGAACCCCCTACTCAAAGCTAACCCAGCCCAGTCATTTTATTTTAGTGTTCAAAATATGACTTCAATTTTGCTTATGATAAAGGAGGGAGTCCTGTATTTGCCAAGCAGAATGCAGCATTAGTTGCAGGCTGACTATTCAAAGGAATGTGGAATTTGATGGAAGCCAAATATTGACATACCCCTTCAGTTTCTCTCCTGAACTTCTTACTGAGCTTTGCAAATAGGAGGCACACAAATGAAGAGAAAAAGAAAAGAGATCTAAAATAATGTATAAAGAATTGGTTAAAATGGGGAAAGGGGAATGCTTCTAATCTTACATTTGCACCATAATCTAGTTTCTGTATTCAGGAACAGGTCTGAAGGACCCATCTGTTGTAGGGTATTGATGCTGAAGAGAGGTGTGGATATGTGGGTGTGAGTGTGTATGAGACAGAAAGAGAAATTGCACCCCCATGGTGCAAGGCATGCTTGTTCCCTCCCCAATACAACCAAGCTTGCATTGCTTTTCTCCAGACAGTGCTGTGTTGTATAAACACCCTTCTGGTTCTCTGGATCAAGATTTAGTTGCAACATTGCTCACCCCACTCATTCTTTACATAAAATAAACTTAAAATATTAAAATATTTAAAAAGTAGTAAATAAAAAAGAGGCAAGGACAATTGGCAGGAAAAAAAAATCTTTTTTGTATATTCAGCCAAAATAACCTCACCTCTACTTAGTCAAACCGACCTATTCAGCTTCCCATAATCATTTTGTTCTGTGTAAAAGCTACTAGCGTGTTCTGTCACACAAACCTCTAGTAAATGATTTGGAGCTGAATTGTTCCCAGTCATTTCAGTAGAGATCCTTCCATTTTGTACTGAAATGCTCAGTTGCTAGTTCATAATTCTTAAAAATGAAAATGCCCCCTTAAGACATGCAAACATCATATAGTGGTATTCACACTTGTTTGTACATGTCGAGCAGAACCATGTATGCCATACAAATACAAATATTAGAAGTAGATGTAAAACCTTAGTATGTGTATGTGCAAATTAATGTGGAAAAATAGATTTTCAAACAATGAAAATACTGACGTTGCAAACACAGGTGAGTTAGTCTAACTGAATCAGAGGACTAACTTTTCTGTAAACATGCTATAGAATTACAATATTGGTTTTTCAGTACTTTATGAGAAACTTTAGTTGATTACAGTATAGGATAGCCTAACTCTAAATATTGTGAATGTATATGTACTGGTGCTTATGTGGTTTACAGTACATGTATTGGACTGCACCTATGCATTGCCAGGAAAGAAACAATGACATAGACACCTAAACACACAAAAAATATTATAAAATTAAATGAGCCCTCTACTGAAATTTATGTGAGAACAAGCTTTGCAGGTAATCAAGTTTTGTATTCTGAGTGGAATGGAGCTGCTTTATGTATGAGATTTGTGTGGGTGTAGGTGTGTAAATCATTGTGATATATCAGCTTAAACTGCATTTACAATTGATGTTCAGAGTATCAATAGGAACATTTTCACACATGACACAGAATGTACATTTGAGCTTGTAAGTATAATGCAAATACAATCCCACATTTCTTAGCATGCATAGTGGGTTTAAATCTGGCTCTATTTTTCTATTTTATGTTCACAGCATTTACATGTATTGCAAGGGAGGCTCCAGAGAACTTCAGAGTTGTGTATAGAAAATCCTTTGTCTCTAATGTCATGTTTTGATACTGCATTCAAAATTCTCAGGGCTACTCAGTAAATTATTGATATGTTTTTCAAAATTTTCTGGGATAGTCTAACTACAGCTACTAGATTTTGATTTCCTTGCATGATACCTCAGATCAGTCATCTCTGTAGAAATAACAATTTTTCTACAAATAGATACCATTTAAGGTATGGAGGAAAAGTGATTTATTTACCCTATCATTTGTACATTCAAGGCAGTAGGCACTCAAAATTACAACAGAAACTTTTAATGTCATGCATGTAAACACAAAGAGATACAGGGGATTTTTTAAAGTTAAATTTTAAAGCTTGTTTTCAAAAGTGGACATTAGTTAGTGATTCTCATGCAATGTTCTGCTAAAATATGATTTGTTAGTTTTGGATTTAGAGATAAATGTGAAGCCATACATAAAGGCTTATAACATTATCTACAAGCCAAGAACCCACAGATTGATCTACAAATCCTGGTTCAGGGTTAGGTGTCATTTCAGCTATACCTTTATGGTATTTTTATTTCAGGCACATAGACCTTAAAAAGAAGCACTATCTAGAGAGGCATTAAAAGTTAGATTTAAGTTAGCCAGGCGAAGCTACAATCATATCATATTCAATACACTTATCATGGAGTAAAAGGTGAGGCTTCCCTTGATCTGAGCTTGATTCCTAGTGACATATTGGAACATACAGAAGTGATTTTCCTTTTCCTTTTTCTAGAGACTTTTTTTTAAACTATTCCAGTTTATCTTATAGACCAGGTTCTAAAAAATTTGGTTTGAAATGCTTATTTCCTTTTGATCAGTCTGGAAACTTGGAGAAGTTAATTATCAATCTTGTTTAACTAAATGAGTTGGAAGTAAGGATATATTGTGTATTGGCTAGTGCAACCTGATGGATGTAAACATGGATAATTAGAGGCCTTTCTTGCTGAAAATTCCAGAGTTGCATTATTGAATAGGACTTTTTAATCCCAGGAAATAAATATATTTTAAAGAGGTCATCTGGAGTTCAAAGGAATATTTTCAAACATCTTGCATGATCCTGGCGTCTCTGTGATATGCACTGACTTGCTGCTTTCAGTGAAACATATTTCTAAAAACATGATTGAATACCATCTTAAATTCAAGTATACTGTTTAATTTGTTCCAAACTGCAGGCAATATGGCCTCAGATTTTTACTGGAAAATAGACCTCTTATTTTTAAGTAAAGATATGTTAAGCAAGATTAACAAATGAAACTATTGTGGGTCAATACCTACATTGTTGAGAAATTGTGAAAAATGATATGGATCATACAAATCTTAGAACAAAACTGTAATCATATGAGAAATTTCTTTCTATCCTTATGTATCCTTTCTACTATGAAAAATACTCATATGCAGAGAGTAAGGAATCTGATATTGATTAAAGATTAAAATAACAAAGGGAAAATATGTTTTTCAGATAAAAAAAGGAGGAAACATTGTTTCCATTTAGGACACGCATTTCCTGCAAGAAGTCTTTAGTGCAAGATGTACTTTTTTTATGGTACAGCTCATAGGGCAGAGTGCTCACTGATGTTTGGACCCAAGTACAGTAAATGCAAGCACTCTCTTGGGAACAGACTCCTTCCACATCATATATCCTTCTAGAGGATGACAATTACTTTAGAATTCACTTTGGCCTGTAATGGGGGTATCCCAAATGGGCACAAGATGGAGAAAAAAAAAAAAAAGGATTTATCAAGATTGGTAGTATTGTTGAATCAGTCAATCTTTTAAAATGGGAAACTTTCTCTATAAAAGGGGGAAGGAAACAACCACCTATAATAAAGTTCTTTTAAACTATAATATCTCCAGTTGGGGGGGGGGTTGCTTTTCAAGGCATTGTTTCATTGCAGAGAAAAGATTCCAAACAGAATTGTTTTGAAGATTAACACATATCTTTCCCAGTTGTTTTTACATAGCTGGCTAGATAGCATGAGGTAGAATTTCTGTTTTCATTTAAATAATTTGAAGCCACTCAAGAAAAAGATGGGAAAATCAACTTGAAGGAAGCTTATAAGGATGTGGAAGGCAGGGAGGTGAGGTTGAGTGGTTAAGTGGAAGAGGAAGCATACAAGTCTCCCTCTCTCTTTTGAAATTGAAATGTAAAGATATTTACATTTCTCCATGTTTAAAGAAAAGAAATGATCAGTACCTACAAATAAAATAGCATCCTGTGAATTGCTTTACTAATTCCGGTTGGTTGTATCTGAATTTGAAAGAATTTAGATTAAAGGGTAGAACTTTCGTTGGAAAGTTCCCAAACATAATTCTCTGAATCCTATGAACTAAAAAAGATAAATTTTAAGAAGAATAGAAACTATTTTTTTTCCCCAATAAACAATATTTTTTCTTACAAACTAATTCTCCCTTTTGACTGTGTTTAGAAAGAAGTGAGAGAGGTTTGTCTTGGAACACAGCTAGCAACAAAAGCACAGTGAATTAGCATTTTCACCTTTGTTTCAATACAGAAGTGTTGGACAACTGGTTATGATGGAAACTGTAATACAACACTACTGAAATATGCCTTGTTACTGGAAGATTGTACAAAAGAGAAAAGAGCATTTTTCTTTCTCATCTCCTTCAAGCTAGCTGGAAGAGAAGGGGCATAAAGGTAGGCTTTATATAAATGAATTTAAGTTGTATGTACTGTATATAAACTGTATATACTGTATAACCTTCACCGTGCAATCTGGAACCCTAAGAAATAAAACAATGTATTTTTAAACAACAAAAAAGTGTGTGTTCGACTTTTTAAAATAGAGACATTGATCATATTAGGCTACAGAAGGATTTTTTGTGTGTTAAGTTAGTAATCCCACTTTCTACTTAGATATAAAACAACTGAAATGACTGCTGGATCAAGACTGAAATCTTGGTTAAATTAGGCTTGCTGAAACCAGTGTCATTATAAAGTTTTTACATTGATCCTGGGATTATAATTTAAGTATTGAGAAAGTTAGATTCAACTCTGTTTTATTTGTGGAAAACACATGAATGTTACACTAACCTTTCATATTTCAAGCAACATTTGTGACAGCATATTTGGTACTGATTACAAACTTGTTGGCTTGTTTGAATTGAACATTTGTAATTCTTAAGTGGTCAGCGATATTCCAAATGAATTATCTACAAGATGAATATTTTCATATTGTTTTCCAACATTTAAAGATATAATCATCCTCTTACTTCTCAATTTGCAGATTAGAAGAGTTCCAACTTCTAATGCTCTGTCCTGTTAATACTAAAGAATACTAGCATTCTTTTTATTAAAACCAATAGTTCCATTACTTTGGTAATACTTTGTCTGTTCGTTGTTAAGAATTAAACATGGCTGCTCTTTACAATTCTACAATCTGCTATTTGGATGTGTTCACCAGTTGTGCTGATTTCCAATCCTGTCCCTTGTTGCAAAATAACTAGTGAACTGAATTTGGGATTAGCCTGTTTCTTGATACAATTAAAGAAGCTGAAAATAAAATGCAGTTACTATAGATAAGTAAAATGTGTATCAGATAGTTTTATTTTCAGAAATTAATAAGAAATGACAATACAAGGAATCTGATGTTTTTTGGGAGGGGAGACAAAAAGTATACCACATCATTGTAAGAATAGCATGTAATCCTCCATGAAAACAAATAATTCAATGTACAGATTTCTTCAATTTAGTGTCTTCTAAGACATGTAGGATTCTCATAATTCTGATATAGCATAGCAATTTGAAGATACCAAGTCAATGAAAAATACATTAAAAGTCATGCTAGCCTGTGATTTAGCCAACCTATTGAATAAGTCATAATTAGCTGAATTTATTCAACACTCTGTGCAATAAACTAGGGCTTGCAAGCCAAAACTTCAATTAGGCAAACAAAGCTCCACCTCATTTTAGTTTAATGCAGTATCTCACTGAATTCTTGGTAGATTGGAGCTGGGGGAAACAGGTTCAGTCTTCTTATAGAACCTGTGAAGTTCATTGGACAATTTTGGAGTCTATTGTTCACATACATGTACAGGCTAAAAGATGCTAAACTATGGTTTGCTTAACCATTGTTAATTGAATTTGTTTTGGGAGATCTATAACCTAGTGTGTGGGTGTGTTGGAGAGACTGCTTTGGTTTATCAATCTGTTTTAACCCAGTATACAGTTGTATGCACAGCCTAATTCTTGTAGAATTAGAAAAAGCAACCAGAAATATGTCTCAATCTTTTGCAGAATCTGTGGAACAAAATATTAATAAAGTAATTAGCATATTTAGTTTGAATTAAACTTCAGTAAATTAGTTAAATTGCATCTTTAGCATAGAAGAAAGTGGGCTAAAATAATTTTGGATCAAATGTACATTCTTATTTTTTAAATTCATTTTGCAGAGGAGCAAAATAACATCAAGAAAGAAAAAGAGAGATCTAAGTATCTTTACTTTACTAACTAAATTAACTTACTGTAATTAACTTACCATAATTCTTTGACTCCAATTGTTAAAAGAAAGGATAATCTTTATTTCTGACTGATATCTATAGTTCACAATGTATGTAGAATTGTTAGGTTTAGCTGCTATATGAAGGAGGTTCTTCCTTATAAAAGGCTTTTCTCAAAATGGGAATATAGCATACTTAGGCATTTCCTAATTGATTATACTTCGGGTTTTTTGTAGCATTGTAAATGTTGCAGAAGAGAAATGAAATAATTAAATGGAAATTAATAAACACATCTATCTGATTTTTACTCCCAAATCTATAGGAAATATTTTTGAAAGTTCTGAATCCTTGTAGAACAATTTTCACATCCTTTAAGTTTTTTGATTTAAGAGAAACACAATAAGCTAAACTAAAAAAAAGGGGTTAGATCCAAATAGTGAGGAAGAATAAGTTGAAAATTCAAGAGCAGTGTACATCTCAGGATACATTTGCTCAGCTGGAGGAAATTCATTTTATCAGTTACAATGGAAGTGCTGTTTTTTTTATTTTAAGCTGATTCGAGAAAAACATGGGAATTGCTTTATCACCTCATTATCCACAGGCCTTGTCATTCCCTGTCATCAAGCAGCTTTTTCCTTCCCCACAGGATTCAAAGGACATATTTTGTACTCAATAGAGGGAGAGGCAGTTTGGACAGGTGGGTTGCAACATGGAGAAATAGGAAAACAATATTTACAGTATTAGGGTTCGAAAACAGACATTTGTATCACGGTATTTTAGAAAGCTATTGCCTTTTCAGTTTTGCCCCAAATCCCTACTTACATTATTGAATGAATATGAATCTATGTTACAAGGTAAGGATGATTAAGATGGTGGCCCACTTCACATATCCCACTGAATTATAACATGGCTTGATTGGTTTTGGTTACTATGTGGTATGAACACTACCAACTACAGCTTATTCAATAAGCTAAGTTTAAACAAAACATGAACTTATCAATACGAGGTACTCTGAGCACATGAAATGTATTATATAAATGCTAACAATTGCTATATTTAATCTAATATTAGAAAATAAGTATTTACTTGTTCACAGTGGTATTTACTATAATAGTAGAAGGACGTGAATATTAATTTGGTTTACTTTGTTTTTAAGGACAACAATTATATATCATTGAAAACTTCAACTTCACTTAAAAAAATTCTGAAATCTAGCTTTCGAAAGAAAAGCATATAATCCAAATCTATCATCCGCAACTGAAGCAAGGTTTTTGAGCTGCGTCCCCCCCAGAATATTTTTCTCAACCCTAATTGAAGAAATTCATGCTTTTATTACATTCTGCTTTGAAACATTTTGAAAATAAAAAGACTAGAACTGTGAGATGTGATTAATTGTTAACCCTCCTGGAGCAAAACTTCAAGCATGATCACAAATTACATTTTACAACCACATTTCACAAAAGGAGGCTTTCCCATTTCATGCACTGTGTTTAGCAGCCAGGTTATGGCCTCAAATGCAAGCCATCTCTCTGATAGCCAAAGAAATGGGAAAGACTTGGAGCCCACTGAAAGGAAGAAATGCTGCGGAAGAGTGCTTCGCTCAGGGGACTATCTTTCTTAAGGAGGCCCTCATTTCTTTGCGTTTCTTTGTGGTTTTGATTATTAATCGCAATTTGGATACATGCAGAGGAGTAGATTAATAGGAGATTTCATTCTATGTGGGTAGTCAGTAAATACATTTCCAGAGCTGTCTATTAGTTATATGGCCACTTTGGGGAGGAAACATTTTCTCTATCTTTATCCTGGTTTAATAAATGTCAGAGACGTTTTTTCCAGAATAAAAAAAAAAAAGAGTTAACTGGTGAAAGATTGGAGGAAAGAAGAGAGGAGGGAAGGGGTGCAGATTCCTTATTTGATTTAATTGTCAGTGATAAATTAGATAAAAGCAAGTTAAAAGAGTCAGGCCTTGGAGAGGGGAGAAGGAGAGCCTCAGTCTCCTTAATCTTGGAGTGGTTGAGGGATCATAGTGTAATTTGGGGAGAGGGGGTTGAAGGATTATTTTTCCTTAAAAGTCTTCATTTATTATGTTTACATAAAGTCAGGAGAGGATTTGGGAACAATGATTTCTGGCTAGGACATGGGAAGTGGTGTCTATGTTTGCCCACTTGTGTGTCTGTGTATATGCATGTGAACAACACACACACACACACACACACACACAGGGGCTCACATGCCCTTGATGGTTTATCAATCTCTGATGAGATTGAATGAAATGTACCCTTAAACCCACACCCCAGAAAAAACTTTTATTTTCTTGCAAATAACTGAGGGGGGGGGGAAGAGAGAGAGAGAGAAAGAGAAAACCAAAAATCTCACAACCCCCTAACCCCAATAATCAGCCTGGAATTTTAACTTCAGGCTGCCAAGGTGTTATTTTTCCTATATCTGTGCTGTTAACATCTGCATGTTAATAGCTCAATGGACCCAGCTTAGGCAAATTGCAAGGAATTTACCTTAAATGAGGCCATATGGAAATAAAAGGGAAAACATGAAGGAAGGAAGGAAGGCAGGAGGGAAGGAAAGAAGGAAATGTTCTCAGAACAAATCTTCAACAAAGCTGGATCTCCTTGGAAAAAGACCTTTGAGAAACTTGAAAAAATTGAGATGTTATTAAGAATAAAATAATGCACCTTTAAAATGAATGCCTCTTACTTGTCCTATTTTCCATTTAGTCTATTTTTTATCATTTTTCATTCATTGCCTGTTTGTTTTCATTTTAAAGTACTTTTCTTTTAATTTTAAAGTACAGTTAGAACAAAAAGAAAACATAATGTAACAAGCCTTCTCTTAACTAGAGCAAATTCCAATGTGAGTGTCTTTATAGCATAATCTTTGGTGTGGAAAGACAATTTTATCAAGATTAAGAGCTTATAATATATTTTTGTTTGATGTTTCTATGGTGCCACAAGATTTGTAATATATCAGTACAATAGCAAAAGATATGCAATCAAAAATTGAGCCAAGTACTAACTGAAAGTCAAATATTAGAGCAAATGCTCAAATGAGTTCCCCAAACAGCATAGCTCTATTTAATGATATTGGTGGGTGATGGTGAGGGAGGTGAATGATGATGATAGGAAAGGGAAACCCATAATCATATACAAATAAAAACAAGAATTAGAACCTTTAATATGC